TACATAGGCATAATTCATAAATTAATTGAGTAATCATGTACTAAGCAAAATTTAAAGTATACTGTAGTATATGAAAACAACAAAAAGAATAGCATACACATATCAAATTCCATGTTTGACATTATATAATTAAAATCATAAGATCGTAATATTTCAATCATAATCAGAATATAGCACTGTAAATGGGAGAAAGACAATATGTTAGTAGAAAGATAATAAAACGGAATTAAGAAATGTATTACAAAAACCGATCAACAAACTTTTTATAATGATAATAACAATATATAATAGATTTTGCATTTTCGGCGCTCCATATTGTTCGAAATAAACTGCGACCGAAATGATCAGCTACCGCTAGGACTACCGTCTTTGTCAATAATTTAACGGAGGTCAGCAGTAGTACTGTTGTAGTAGTAGGCCTAGTGTACTGAGTTCAAATCCTGACCTAGGCCCCTAGACTATTCTCACTTGAAACCATCGCACATCTAGGCCTAGGCTGCAATGAATGGGATTTACTTTAAGTAGCATCTTGTGTATTTGTTAGCGCTGTGGCCAGAGGTTCGGTACCAGATCCGTTGTCGTTCGTGTGTAAAAAGGTCCCATACAAGATTTGTTTACCACAATTCGTGGAGATCTTGTGGTATATATATATATTACATTATAAATTTTACTATGTTCTTGATGACAATATGTTATTCACTTAATAATTTAATTTTTGTTTTATTTTACTACAGGCACTGGTGTATAATAGACAAGGCCGGGCACGAATTGAGCATGGCCCAAAAAGAGTAAAGTCCTGTTATTTCATTTTGATATAGAATATGGCTGGTCGGTGCAGTGGTTAATGAGCTCTTAGTTTGAAATCAGGGTTTAAATATCCTCACTCTGAATTTTGCTAGTACTGTATTCTTGTGCAAAACACCTCATATGCTTGCCTCTCTCTACCCAGGAGTACAAATGGGTACTGTACATGATAGGATGTTGTGGCATTAAATGCAGTGGTAGCTCCAGAAATTTGCTTACAGGGGGTCCGAAGTTGTGTCCGGAAAAAAAATTCCAGGGGTTGGGTTCACAGGAAGTATTTTTTAGGCTTATTATGGCCCAACTCACTATCAGACCATTATATTAGGGATTGGCAATCAAAATAATGTTATTTGGATAGGCAAATTATTATATTTGTTCAGGGGTCAATATCCGTCCAATGGAGGAGGAGAGAAACGCCCTCTCTCTGGCGCCACCACTGATTAAATGTATTTAGATGCGCTGCGTATACTTCCCAGGGAGCAGAGATAGTTGCAATTTGTGCTGGTTTGCAAAAGTATTTCATTGAATGAGCAGCGGATAATTACACTCTCATTCAGTATTTTCCAACAAACAAATGCATGATGGAGAAGAATGGCAAATTAGCATGAAAAATGATACATTATCCAAAAATGGAATAGCTTGCTATTATTAAATGTTGTAATAACCCATTATCTCACGATATTAATCTGCCAATCAATTGACAAGTATCTATTTAGGTATGTTATAAATGTGATTATTTATTTTTTTGTATTTTCTTCTGGCAAATGCATGTGTAATAATTTTTGGATAACTTTTCAATTTTATATGGATGTCATCATTTTTATTCTTATAATTAATTTAATACCTCTCAACAGTGATCTTTATGAAATAATTTAATGTTGTTATAACATTTTTAAAGAAAAACTGAAGGCGATTTTTGTTTATTCAATCAATGGCTAAAATGTGATTATGAAAATTTTTTTTAAAAAGAGCCTATATTTTCAGATGTTCCTGTGGCGATCAAAGTACCAGATATTAAATCATGTTGTTGCAAGCCAAAAACAGTACTTGAAAATTTGTTTCAAGAATGGCGATGTCGAGTATAAAGAGGGGTATGTTTTTGTGTGAACTGAAACTGTACACTATCTTTACAAAAATACCACTCATTGGGAAGATTTTTGTTCAGAAGTGCTTGACCATTTAGGCACTATTACATGGAATTTAATTGAAAATTTGCATACTGGTATTTTGGATTACCAAGTCCTCATTCTTTTTTCTGTTGCGCTCTTCCCCCTCCCCATTGATCTGCCCCCATCACACTGTAAATGTCAGATCAGATATTTTATATTTTGTTATTGAAAGTTATTTATCCTGTTTTTACTATTATGGTGTTGCAGTAGATGGATTAAATATGTAAAAAATTTAAGAATTGCTAATTTTAAATTTTGTTCTTTAAATAGGCCATGTAGAGTACATAAGAACCCAATGATACACTCATCAGTTTTCGCAGTAGATTGTATTTCACTTGATGCTAATGAGGTTGTTGTCATTTATGGTGCGGAAGAAAAAGGACAGATGACTCGTAGACTGCAGTACGGTCCGACGCTGTTCGCCCCAAAATCCAACGAATGGTAAGACACAGCATGGACATTACCACCTACGTATATTTCTATCTTTCTTTCAGTAGGGGGTATAGGGCAGTGTTGCCAGATCAGGCATGCGCGATCCCACTTGCCCGATGCCTGGGGCAAGTGTTATTTACGGCCGGACAAGAAGAATTTTAGGGACCACTTGTCTGTGGGCAAGCACTTTTAGAATATGCTACTCCACAATGTAATGCCTAATACTTTTACAGTACTTATTAAAGTCCGACTCTTGAAAATATGCAGCATATTTTATCAACAAATTGTTGGCCAAATTTTCGGCAACGCGACTCAACATATCGCGATATACGCCTGGGACAAATGTTTTTTACGGTCGGACAACAAGAATTTTAGGGACCACTTATCCGTGGACAAGCACTTTTAAAATGCTACTCCACCATGTAATGCCTAATACTTTTATAGTACTTATAAAAATTCTGATTATTGAAAATACGCAGGATATTTTATTAACAAATTGTCGGCGCACAAAGAGATCAACAGAAAATCAACTATGGTTACGCACTTCACTGCGTACTGTGTTGTTGATGCAGTTTTACTGCACGTGGTATGTTTACAATGTAAATTCGCACTGGTCTCGTCTATAAATACCAGACATATTTAAAGACTCTGAGTGTACAGCCACTAGTTGATTAGTTGAGTTGGATGACATGAAATGTCTGGACTTCCTGGCAAAAAAAAGTGCTAATTAATATCCTTAAATAATAGGCCAATTTTTGGGGTTGAGCTTATACTAATGAAATCTCCTGTTCATGAATTAACTTTTAAGGTTGGCATCAAAAGGTTAAGTCCAGTCTTGGATTATGTTTTTTTTTTCTGAAAGTATTTTTCTGAGCTACTCAATCAAGTTATACCCAGGCTCTTGTCAGGGGAAATGCTGATATGTGAAATCATACATAAATAGGGGTGGATATATAGCCAAGGTTGGTTTACACAAGAGGAAGTACAGTAGTTAAATATTCATTTATCTGGATATAGTTTTAATTTTACCTCTCAGGCTTCATAATTTTTCCTGGCACGGGACAGATCCAAATCACAAAACACGAAAAATACCAGGAATTCTCAATTTCAACAAACTCTGGGTTGTTCCTGACCAGCTATACTTTAATGTACGTATATTTCATTATTTTCTTCTTTCATTTACAGTAGTCATTTCGTATTTGCATATTTTAATTATTTTTCTTCATTCTATTTTAAATTCATTCAATCAATCATGAATTTATTTATTCTTTTATTCCTCCATTCAACCTCTCATTTATTTGTTGATTTATTCTTTCATTCATTTTTTATTTATTCTCTTCATTTGGTAAACCATACAATAGTTCATTAATTCTATTGTACCACACACAAGTTAATATCAAGAAATATAGCAAATTAACAGTAAGTGAAAAAAAAATGTAAAGTTAAATATTCCTTCAGTTACTATTCTTTTATTTATTCATTCTTCCAGCATCAGTTCCTTCTTCACTATTAATAATTCAAGAATTTTCTTCCTTTATTTTTTCAAAATTTTTCATTCTCATCAACTTTATTTATCACTAGGCATAATTATAGTTTTAGAGCACCCTATAAATTTTTGTTTCCTTCATTTTTGTGATAGGTGGAAGATGTGAGGACAAAGGATGATGCACTTTTGAAAGTGAAACTTATGATTTTCTTTGAACTCAGTGACATTGAACTCATGGTAAGAAAATATAATGTAAATGTTATTATTATATTATTTATTTTACTCATTGCTACTGGTAATACTATGTGCCTACTACTATTTGTCTATTTTCTTATTATTATCAATAACCCTAGTACCATTATTGCCTTATATCATTATTGCCTTATATTGTTATTTAGTTACTGTTCTTCTCATTTTGAATATTGCTGTGTTATATTTAGTTCTGCTTCCGAATCTCAGTTAATTCGCATCGATAGGATGCATCTTAAGTTTATTAGGTTTTTTGAAAAATGTTTTAATCGCCCTTGTAAATTATATGTGTCCTAGGAATAGATTTTTATTTCACGATATGGTTTTTCTCTATAAATTTGTTCGTATTTTAGTTGTGATCTTATACATCTGTTTGGTTTGCATGTTAATTCTAGAAGCCTTCGTTCCTGCCCTACCTTTAATGTCCCCTTTTGTAGAGTTGATGTCTGTAAACGTAGTTTTATTTCTAGACTTTCTCTACAATATAATTCTCTTTAACCACTAATATTGACATTTTTCACAATAGTTTGTATATATTTCGTTCTATTATTATTAATCATTTGAAAAGGTGAGATTTTTGTACTGTATATTTGATATATTTAAATTTCATATATTTTACCAGCCTGTTAGTGGCGATGATTCGCTGTTGGTCTGTTTAAATGAAATAAATATTAATATAGATAAATAAATAAATATTATTATTATTATTATTATCAGTATAATTTTTTTTTTTTTTTTTTAAATAAATAAATAAATATTATTTTTTTTTTTTTTTTGGAAAGATGGATGAAAGAAACATGACAAACTGTAATGTTCAGATAGGACCTATGTCAAAGATCAATTCATAATCAATCATACAGATTATACTTATGTTTTTTTTTGAGTGTTTGATGTTAGAAATAAGCAGAGTTGTGTGTGTGTACCATACAAGATGGTTGCCATAGATTCAGCCAATCACAATTACGCCAAGCATCGTTTTAATGGCTCCCTCAACTTAAAGTTTGAAACTTGAGCGTTGTGGTACAGTATAGCATACACGATATCAATTTTCATTCCTTAGTACTTTATTTTTAAATCAGATACTCCATTTGGCTACGATAAAGGGGTTAGTACCCCTGTCATCCTTTTTAAATAAAAGAGTCCCACAATTAACACAAAATTTTATTATCTTTTATTTAAAAAAAAGTTCCCAACAAATTTAATTTTTTCTCCCACCGGGGGAGAGGGGATAGGCTTCTGGGGCGTTGACCCCCTTGTCGGGGAATTCCTGGCAACGCCCCTGAATGAAGTAACAGTTAGTCACAGGGCTTGGTTATAATACATGCTAAGCCTGAAGATAGCACTTTCCTGTGGCTGTCATCTTGAATGGTACACATGCCTTAGATTAGATGAATGTAATACATAGCACTAAAAAATACTGCAACTGTTTATGTCTTGACCTTTGCATATACATGTGCATTTTAAACTACTAAAATGGAGTGTTACATTGATTCAATTCAATATCTGTAAGCATCATATACATGTAAGTTGTAAAAAAAAATGTTTTTAAAAAATGGTAAAGTGCTTATTAAAGACCCAGATGCTTAATAACAATACCACCAGCAATGTCATGTAAAAGTGCAACCGAGTAAAAATTAACTAGAACAGTATTTCGGTACACTGCATCTGAGCAGTTATGGCTGCATATGATTTCTTTTACATTTTGTGTGTATGCTTGGAAGTATGATAGTGATTTGTATGTCAAAAGAGAGTTTGACATTTAATCTTTTTTTTTTAATTTCTTTAGAGAAAACCTCATATCTTTAATTATTATCATGATTCATGTCTTTTATTTTTAGTTATCAAGAACATCAGATCCCATTGCTGATATTGTTAAGTAAGCTTTCTGCAGCTAACTCCTCATATTGACCAATCACAAGCATCATTTCATACTAGAAGTTCACCACTCATAAGCATCATTTCATACTAATATATGCTCACCAATCCTGTAATCTTATTTATTTTAAATTCTACAATAAGAACTGCTCTTCTGTTTTAGAAGGGAAAGTGCTTTTTATTTTTTATTTATTTACATATCTATCTACTTATAATACAGTATTTGTATGTTGATTTTATTTATTTTTAAATATTTGATGTGAGAGACCATTTACATACAAGGAACATTACTCCAAATAATGACAACGAGGCCATGATTAAATGTTTTCACATACATCAGTATAAATGGCTCTTATCAGGCATGTAAATGGCTGAGGGAATGTGGTGATCTTCTGTACTTGGCCAAATTTCATTTCAAGTGAACCACCCTCTGATGAATCAAAACACCCCCTTTTCATTAAAAAAAAAAACCCAGCAAATTGATAATAAAAAGTACATTTTTACATGCTCTTCAGCTTCTGGGGCTGTTTCACCCACTGACCAGCACAAATACTCTTCCCTCAACCCCACCAGGGCATCTAAATGTGCTCGGAACCTCTGGCACCTTAGTAAATCCTCATCCCCATTTTTTGAGATACACCAATTAAACATGTTCTCTCATTTATAATGTGATAATATGGACCAATGCTTTCATTACTTGCAGTGATGTGTCAGCAGACATCGTGACCTTCACGTCCCAAGTGACCTACGAAGAGTTCAATACGAAGTGCGGCAAACTCAATAAAATTGAGACTTATCCAGAGTTGATGGAACGCAGCAAGCTGATTGGCTACCATGTCTCAAAGGTTGTTTTTCGTGGCTACCATGCAAGTACGCAACTTGAGGCACTGCATCACAAATCAGTTGAAACAAGGACTCGCTTGAAACTAATGGTTAGTAATTTTACCTCATTATTTTCAATTAATTAATGGAACAGGCTTTTGATATGATGACCAGCTTGGTTGGTTGGTTCAGAATCTTCATTGTTGTAGTTGCCAATGTCTAATCAATGATCCATGACGCTGTGAGGTGTGGGTGCGTGTTTGTTCGTAATTGGGTTGAATTGCTGCTACAAGAGTTGGAAGGGAAGTTAGTTAATAAGATAGCTCTGGTGACCAATGTCCTGGGGCGTGGAAAAGTGCCACGCATCTGTATGTTTTTTATAAGCGCCGCTCCCGAATAAGTGCCACGGTGCTTATTGAAGCATTTACAGTATGTATGCATGCATGCATGCACACACACCCACATATGCACGTAAGCGTGCATTCGTTTAATGTAAATATTAAAACTACAGTATTTATTATTGCATTTGTAGATTGAAACAGAAGAGCAGGAGCAATCATTGACAGATATGAAGCTCAAGAGTGAAATTAGTCAGAGCACCCTCAGTATGTCACTCATTTTATTTTTATTTGTAAACAATCCAACATAAAATTATACAAACCCAGACAGTGTGTCCCCACATAACAAAAAGTACTTTGCATTGTATTGTGAAGAATATTTATGTAGGATCCTAGGAGGCACTGGTGGTGCCCGGATTTTCCTGAGAGGTGTGGGGGAGTGGAGGATAGGGGAATGGACGTGATATCTCTCCGATGGGAAGGCCGATTTCCTTGAAGATAGCATAAGTGGGCAAACTTTCATAGTAATCACAGCCTTCGCTGGTAAATCTATTATTATTATGACAGTGTTATTTTTGTGATATGGAAACTGAATTGAAATTATTTATTATTACTAGTATTGTTATTGTTGTTGCCGCTACCACTGCTGCTGTTGTTAGTTTATTAAGATTTTCAATTATACTATTATTTATTACCATTGTTATTGTTAAGAGACATACTTCTTCCAATATATTCTAATATTCTTTTATATATTTGGTTACTAGAGCAACAGCTTGCCATTAAAAGCCTCAAACACAAGCATCAACTAGAACTGTAAGTAAATTGACCTCTGTTGACCTACTGCATCTAAAACCAGGCATTCTTTGCATTATACTGCGAATCCAACTCCACTTTATGTGAGCGTTAGCCGAAGCGACACCGTCTGCTGATATCGTCATTAAAAAATTGTGTGTTGCGTGTGAGTCCCTGCGTCCTTCATAGAATCGCACTGGGCGATGACCGTCAGGTGAAGAGAGTGCCTAGCTTTAGTCAATGCAAACACAGAAGTGAGTGAAAAGAGCTGCTTCCAATCAGCAGCGGATTGCTATAAAACAGTCTTAACTGGTAGTCTTAACTCCTCGAATAAAGCCGGCCTTATCACTTAAATGGTCTTACTAAAGTCACTCTACAAAGACCATTGCTGTAAAACAGTCTTCACTTAGACCGCTTTCAGTATTGAAACGCTAACATTCCCTGGTTAACATAAAATTGAGGCGCTAGTACGCTTGCTCATAACATACATACATATCAAAATGAACGTAAATAAACGTAGACCGGTTTTTACAGATGCTGAGAAGCTTGCGGAATATTCGTTCGTAGTCTTGATGATCTAGGTCTAGTATCTGTAACGCCATGATGAAAATGATTTAAGACCATTTTAAGCATCCTCCAAGTAGGCTTTAAAATTAAGATGGCTGTTTACAATGATTTATAGTTCATCTCCAAATCAATTACATTATCAGCATCAATTATATTAATTATATTGATTAAAATGTATATATAATGTGTGGTAACACACTTTTGGACATGCATGACATTTTGTTAATACAATGTGACAATAAATTTCTCTTACAGGCAAAGTAGAAAGTATGAGTTAGAGGTTGCGAGAAAAGCGCATCAAGAGAAATTGCAACATACAAGAGAAGAAGAGATGGCTAAAATTGAGGTAGGCTTGAAAATTTGTATATCACCAAATCAATTTCCTAATTTTGTTTATATATATGAATTATCATTTTTGGTTCCTATGCTATAAAACAATAGGAAACTTTGCAATTGTCTTTACATGTTCGTCCGTACATCTGTGACCCTAACGTCATCAAATTTGTAAACAAGCAAACATGAATTTCCAAACACCGTTGAAGTCTGATGTTTTCCCCGCAACCAAATGGCGAATTGGAGAGCAACTTCTTTTCTCAATGTGCACAACTTTCAGTCAATTACTATGGCTGTGCAATCGTTTCCTCTTTGAAGCTAATGCATTTATCTTTCAAGAAATACCAAATATAATAATATTTTCTACAAAAAAGACTTTCGAATTTAATGAAACATTTACACCAGCTTTAAAAGTATGGTATATTTCAACTTGAATTCTAATTTTAACAGATGTTAATTAAGGAATAAATGAGGATTATAATAAACTAAGTCATTCTAGGGTTAACAAGTGTTAACTATTGGAAAATTAAATCCACAATCAGAGTAAATTTCAGTTTCACACTGCCTTAGCTTTATAGTCAAACCAATCGTTCTTTAGACAAGATTATAATGGACACAGAAGTAATTGTAACAGAAATATTTTGCGGAAAAAAATCTAATCAGGGGAACATTGTTAATTATAGAGATATTTAATGAGATAAAATCAAACAGGTTATTGCACAACTGCTGCGTTGAAGTGTATAAACGCATGTCGCTGCCAAGTTGTTGCTAACGAAAAATGTGAATAATAAGATAATATGCCCGCGCACAATCCAAAGGCGGGGAACACATTGGTTTGTCGCATCAAAGGGATCTGTTGCTGAGTGATCTTCTCAATAATACCTCCATGGGTTGACTGTGTAATTTCTAACAGTAAATTCTTCGAGTGAAAATGTGTCTTAATGGGAAAATTGAAAGGGGTGCGCTGGATTGGCCCCATCATAGCTGAGGTGGTAATGGTAGAATGAAGACACTATGTTATTTTCTTAATGTATTATATAATTTTGTCTGACATTTGACCTTCTGTATTTTGTAGGCTAAGAACAAGGAGAATAATCAGAAGGTTGACCGACTTCGTAAGTTGCAAGAAGTTGGCGTTGATATATCTGAGTATTTAATCAGCAAGAATCGCCGCCCTGACTACACCATGAAGGTTATTGCGCCACCTCATTCCAACGTGCACGTTCACCAATCGTAAAGCCACGCCACATAATTGGCCGAAATCCATATAGATTATGTGGAGGAGAACAGTGCAAGGTTTTATTGTGAACTATATTGTGCACTGTGGCCTGCTTAACAGGAAAAAATATGTACTGTATATCCAAGTATAAATCAGTATATTGTTAATTTCATTGTGATATATACATTGCATGACCACTGTAGCTTTAGTTTTCCCAGCCCACAAAATCCCTAGATATTGCTTGCTGTACCATCTAAATATTCATGGATATATAAATATATATATTAGTAAAAAATGTTAAGATAGTATAATACATACTTCAAGTATTGAAATGCATGCCAATGAATTCCTGATGATGACATAATTAATTTTGAAATATTGGATTTCAACACGATGGCGTGCATTTTGATACTTGGAGTATGTATTATACTATCTTATCTGAGATGAATCAGTGGACCTTTCAGTTTTTGAAAAATGTTATTTTGTTAAGAAAAAAAAGAATCTTTTCATTTAGATATACAATATATATAATATTCATATTAGATTTGTTGCATAGCACATATATATATATATATAT